CCTGCCTATGCAGGGGGTCGGACTCGATGATCTATTGAGGTCCCTTCCGACCCTAGCATCTATGAATCTATGAAAGGGGGTGAGTCGGGAAGTGGCAAAATTTATGGATGATACACAGTTATTTAAAGTGGTAAAAACAAAGACAGATTGTGAGGAATTCCAGAAGGATGTGGCAGTATTGAGCAAATTGGCAAATAAATGGCAGATGGAATTTGATATGGATAACAGTAAAGTGATGCACAGGGCAAAATAACCCAAACTATAGCTACACTATACACTATAGCTACCTTACACTATGATGGGATCTACATTCACTGCTACCACACAGGAAAGAGATCTGACAGTCAGTGTGGACAGTGCACTGAAAACATCAGCTCAGTAACCATCAAAAAGGCAAATAAAACATTAGGAATTATTAAGGGAACTGTGAACAAATCTGAACGTATCTTTAGAAAGATGCCCCTTTAGAAATCCATGGTGCACCCACACCTTGAGCAGTGTGCCCAGTTCTGGTCCCCACACTTTAAAAAGGATATAGAAAAACTAGAGAAGGTCCAGAGAGGGGCAACAAGGATAATAAATAGTATGGAGGGGCTTCCAGATGAGGAGAGATTAAAGTGGCTAGGCCTATTCAGTTTAGAAAAAAAGATGCTTGAGGGGGGCCTGATAGGGATTTACAAAATACTACACAGTAAACAAAAAGTGCATAGGGATTTATTACTTTCTCTCTCTCAATACAAGAACTAGGGGTCACAAAATAAAAGTAGTAAGTAGGCCATTTACATCTAACAAAAGTTCTTTTTCACACAACATGCAATTCAAGTGGGCACTCATTGCCACCAGATGTTGTGGAAGCTGTGAGTTTACCCAGATTCAGAACTGGATTGCACAAATTCTTGGAGGAAGGGGGCATCCACAGCTATTGAGCTTGGGAGTTAGGAACACAGCCCCTAAATTAGATTTTTCTAAACCTTAAATGCTGGAGGCTACAAGTGAGAGAGGAACAGTGGGGAAAAAACCCTGATCATACCTAGTTCACTTTCCCTTTAAGGATTCACTCTCTGCCACTGTTTGATACCAGATACTGGGTAAGAGGGACTTGTGATCTAACCCAGTAGACGGTAGTTCATATGTTCTTATCCACACACACAATCACAGAGAAATGAAGAATACACACACTACAAATACCACAGATATCCCTTATATATGTAGAGAAAGTATACAGGCATATAAACACATATGGAGTGTGGAAGTACTATCCACAATTGCACAAAAAACCCTTCATACAGGAGCAAGAGGCCAAGCTAATGAGGTGGAGAGCTTAGAGCCCACCATGCATGCATAACACAGTGGGAAGTGAGTGCGGCTGCATCCCCCTTCTCTCTCTTGAATCCACTGCTGCATGTGCCCAAACAGAAAATCCTATATATATGTGACAACTCCTACACATATGTGATAATTCTGTCATGTAATACTTTAATCTAACACAGGAATGCAACCAGACATACAACAGTACCTACAATTATGCAATCTTTTATGAACATGCTTCCAAAGACACAGAGACATGTTCCATGCATTCTAGTGTGCAACTCAAACTGACATTTCCCCTGAAATTTCCAATATGAGTTCATAAAGTCCTAAGTGTTGATTTTTTTAAAAGAAATATTCCTAAAGGGTTTAGATCAGTGGTTCTCAGCCAGAGGGCTGTCCCACTGCCACTACCAGTAGAAATTGCCCCACTGTGCCTCTCTTTCTTGGAGATGTCATATGGAGCTGAGAAAATAGCTGAAGGAGGAAGTGGTGCCCTGAGTATGATGAGGGAAGCTGTCCTGAGGATGCTACTACTGGGCCTCCTGAGAGCCCAGAACAGCAGCCCCACCATCCCAGAAAGGATATAGTAAATGCCACCCCTGCCCCAGTGCTTCTTAGTGGACAAAGACAAAAGGGAGGGCGGGGGGGAAGGAATATCTCCCTTGCATGGACAGAACAAGAAACAATGGTCTCAAGTTGCAGCAAGAAAAGTTTAGGTTGTATATTAAGAAAAACTGTCTCACTAGACAGGTAATGAAGCACTGGAACAGGTTACCCATTGAGGTGGCAGAATCTGCATCCTTGGAGATTTTTAAGACCTGGCTCAACAAAGCCTTGGCTGGAATGATTTAGTTGGGGATGGCCCTGCTTTAAGCAGGGGGCTGGACTACATGATCTCCTGAGGTCCCTTCCAACCCTAACTTTCTATGATTTTATAAAAAGGAGGGGCTTGCTCTGTCCACATCTGAAGAGGACGTCACTAAATACAAAAAACTTATGGAGGGGAACCTTGTATCTAAAAAGGTTGAGATTTGCTTGTTTAGATGCTGTGTTACCATAAACTTTTAATGGAAACTGAGGACCTTTGATGGTCTCAGACTTATCTTTCCTATTTATTCCCTTTTATAGGTACTCATTGTAGCTCTACAAGGATGTCAAATGAAACCTCCATGACTGAATTCATCATCATGGACTTTTCCAGCCTCCAGGAGCTGCGATTTTTGTTTTTTGGGGTTTTCTTGGTCACCTACACCTGCACTCTTCTAGGCAACATCTCCATCATTGCGCTTACCTGCCTGGATCCTCATCTTCACACCCCTATGTATTTTTTTCTTGGGAACCTCTCTTTCCTAGATATCTGCTACACCACCACCAATGTCCCCCAGATGCTGCTGCACCTACTGGCAGAAAGGAAAAGCATCACCTACGTTGGCTGCGTCATCCAACTGTATTTCTTCCTCTCTTTTGTGGGCACAGAGTGCATCCTGCTGGCTGTCATGGCTTATGATCGCTATGTGGCAATATGCAGCCCACTGCAGTACATGGTCATTATGAGGAAATCCCGCTGCCTTTGGCTGGCTGGCATCTGCTGGGCTGCTGGTTTCCTGAACTCTGCAGTGCACACGTTTTTCACCTTCCGGCTGCCTTTCTGTGGTGCTAACCAGCTCAACTATTTCTTCTGTGACATCCCACCACTCTTGAAGCTGGCCTGTGGGGATACCTCCATCAATGAAATCACCCTGCTTGCCATAGGGGTCTTTATAGGATGGACCCCATTGATTTGTATAGTCCTGTCCTATGTCTACATCATTTCCACAATCCTGAAAATACATTCTACCGAGAGAAGGCTCAAAGCTTTCTCTACCTGCACATCCCACCTCATCATTGTACTTCTGTACTATGGCAGTTCCATCTTCACCTATGTAAGACCCATCTCCAGCTACTCTCTGGATAAAGACAGACTGATTTCTGTCCTATACAGCATTGTTACTCCTATGCTAAACCCTTTAATCTACAGCCTGCGAAACAAGGATGTCAAAGGGGCTTTGAGAAGAGTGCTTATGGGGAAACTGTATTTGCAGTGATGCTGGAAATGCTTTTTCTATGGATCTTTAAATATCACTGAAAAATTAAAGTTCTTTTCCCCACCTTTCATTTTGTGCACTGCAGTTGGTGGAACATCTGAAAAATATTTTCCCCAAACTCCTATAAATTATTGAAAGAAAGTCAATTTTAGTTTGAAATGATCACTGTAGTCTCTTTTTCACTTTTGCTGAACTTTTTATTGTTTCTTTAATTAATCAGTTTAATATTTTTCTTCATTTATTTCTTAAAATATTAAGTGAAAAAATACTCCAGATCATTTCATAACATGGCTAAGTAGCATACAAGGCAGTGTAAAGCACAAAGTAATAGAATAGTCACATTGTAAAGAATGGGGGAAGTGTCTCTGTAGAGTACTCTGTATTTGATATTGGAGCAGTAATGGGTAGGAGGAAAAAAAAGGAGCAACTATACTATTTTTAAGGACATGAGGGAAAAACAGAGGATGTGAGGTATGAACGGGGTAGTATATTATAGGGTTATGGATGGGAAAATGCAGTCTACATTGCATAATGGATGCAGGGTTAGAATAGGATGAGGGATGAGAAAGGTGACTTTGATATTCATGTGATGGAAGCAGACAGTGAGCAATATAAAAAAATGCAAACCACTACCTGATAGCCTCCATGACCGTCTCAAAGGCACAACCATGACAAGGTACATAAGGCACAATGCAAGGGACCCTTGATGCCAGTTGTGTCTCAGTTACTCAAATAATGACTTGACCCTATTACGTGGAGCTATCACAGATACTCACCACCAGCCCTGCTTCTTGTCTACTTGTGTCAACCCAGGGCTGCCCAGTGACTGACAACAGTGAACAGTAAGAGCACTAGAAGCCTCCAGCCCCCAGTGCAGCTACTGTCGAAAAGCAGACCCATGAGAGTCCAGGTAAGTTTGGGGAGTCCCCCGACTCCTGGTCAGGACCACTGAGCATTGAGTTTACCAGACCATGGGACAGAACAGCTTGGATGCCACTGACACGGAGAAGCTGGGACCATCTAACCCAGCTGCCTCAATGACTACTCAGCTGACCATTCTGTAAACATTTCTGCCAAGAGCACCCGCATCGTTGCTGCTGATCGTTCCCTATTACTGCCACCAACCAGTCAGCAAGGCCAGATACCCAACCAGCTGGTGAATTGCAGTTCTCCACCACATGGACTCTAGTGGTAGAGTCCATGCCACCACCCTTTGGCACGCTGAAAGGAGCCTGCTGGGTCTATGGACAGGGACATGGGTGACTTTAGATGTGCACAAGAAGTACAATTTTTTTTGGTGTGCAAACAGTTGGCAGAGTTGCTCTGGGCCTCTCAGAGGTCTGGTATGTTTCTGTATCTGAAAGTGGATGGACAGAGGAGCAACCAAAACTGCAGGTGGAAATGGGAGACACATGTTTCATGATATCTGGGAGGGTGGGGAGTAAGCGCCTTCTGGCCGCCTATTACAGGCTGTTGTTTGGGGATCTAACTGACAGTTATTGGGCAGTTCATTAGTGATCAGCTTAGCACTCGGTTGTTTCATCATCACCGATGATGAGCCAGCCTGGCTCTTTTCCCCTCAGCCTGCCTGTGCCACACCCTCTCTGAGCTGCTATGAAGGGAAAGTCACAGTAGGTACCCTCATGGCCTTCCCACACTACTTTGGGGAAGATCACTACTGCCTGACCTAGAGTGACCACATGTCTAAGGTATTTGTAAATCTATAGACAAAAGCTGTGAAGCAAGCCCCAGCTACAAACATGCGAGGAAGGTCCAGAAGGGAGATGCCCTTGGAGGTACATATGACAATAGGGTTCACCTGGATGCTTATACTCCCTTGACAAGTAGGATGTAATACATTCACCCAACTGCAAGGCACACCAAAGTATATTAACACCAATCCCCTGTAGCAGCACAAGGATATTCCTGTAGCAGCACAAGCTAGGGAGAGGCTGCTTTCATTGCTAAATAAGCCAGGGTAGTGGCCTTTAAGTGTTTGCATAACACAATCCAGCCAGAGAGCAAGACAAAGCTGACACAGTAGGACCATGGTGGTGTTGCTGCAGACAGAATAGGAATTGAAGATCCCAAAGAGACTGGAGAGACAGCAGTCACAAAAACCTGCCTCCTGACCCCAGTTTCTGTTGGCAAAGGCAGCTGCTTCTCACTGGGGATCAAGAGTAAGAGCCAGCTTCCTTGGGGCTGGTCTCAAGACCCTTATTCCTAGTATTAGGGCTTGTTCTGATAAGTGCCCCTTCATTGTGACTCATGGGGAGCTTTTCCCATACCCCAATTCTAGGATTTCACCCTTTACTGCTGGAGATACTGGTCAAACAGGAGATCTAGCTTGAATGATCTTCAGGCACACAACACATTTTTCTTGTGTATTAGCTTCTCCATCTCTCTTCCAACCCCTCCCCACCAAGATGCATCCCCCCTCTGCTGGGACCCAGAGAGAGGCTTATGAAGTTCAGCTAGGACTCAGAGAGAACACCCTCCAAGACCCTCATACATCCAACTGGATGTTTTCCTTCCCTGTCCTTTCCCCATTGAGATTGTGGATAGATTGGTGGGGGTGCACCTGTGACATAGAGCTCTGTTCCTACCTCATTCAAAATTTAATGTTCCGATTTGCCTCTTTGGGCATTCAGTACTTGCAACTCTGGCCCCAATTCCTCATCTTGGCTACCTGTCTGTCTATTCATATACCACATCAGCAGAATAGCAGGATATGGAGTAAGACTATATAAAAATAATCTAGCTTTTTTTTTGCTAAAAAGATAAAGTGCAAAAAAGTACAGAAATCCCTCTCCCCAATTGATGAAGGTGCCAATTACATTTTTAAAGCATCTACAGCTCAAGTTTTTAAAAGGTAATAAGCTGCCTGTAAATGGAAATGGATCGTTATTAAATATTTAAAATATCTGGCCACCTAACTCCCACTGAAATGGATTTTGTCCTATGCACTTACCTGCATCATTAGGGAACTACATGTGACCGTCAAAGAGGGGCTTGGACTTTTAGGGATATCATGGACTTAAGTGCCTCAGCGCAATTCTAGTTCAGCCAGTCAAGTCCTGCACATCCATTTTGCAAAAATTATGAGAGAAATTTTTTGACAAGTCAGCATGAGTTACACTTCCAAATACTTCCTTTGAAGCCTGTAAGTGCCTTAGCAGGGATTTGCAAAAGATTGCAAGGTGAGCAAGTAGGCAAAAGAAAGGTAAATGAAAACAGTGAAGGAATTAACAAGGTCCGTTCTATTTATTCTGTTATAATAAATGTGCCAGGTGTTGGCAATGAACTTGATAGGCAGCTCATCTTGAATTTAATCAAAGAAAATCTTTGTATGCAATGTGCATTTAAACTACGGGCTCACTGCAGTACTATTGACTACTGTTGAAATCGGCACACCACAGCCTGTTATTCATATATACCAATACTTAAGATCATGGTAGTGTTGATTAGACATTGTAGGTGGGATAGCTCTGACAGTCCAAGTAAAGTGAGAGGCAATGATTTTTGCTATTGTATTTCTTCCATCTTACACAAGTCTTTGTTCTGATCTTTCTCTCAAGCAGTGTCTGCTTTTTTCTAGGACTTGGTACTTGAGAAAATGTGCCTATAGTCTTCCCAACTATACATTTGGTCCAATAAAAAGTCACCCACTAAAACCCCAAATATTATTTCTCACAATAACAATCCACAGTTGTATCAGCTGAACTAAAACAAACAAAAAAAGAAAACCAAAACAACAGAAGACAACAACCCTCCTTCCCCCAATGACAAAAAGGCAACATATGATATTGGTGCTTGTACATCAGTAGGTACACCCACAAGGCATGGCCTGGAACTAGGGATAAAGATTCTCCATATCTGTCTTACATGATCAGTGCCCACCTGAGGATCCTACACTTTCCCTCATGTCATCCACTTTTTTGCTACATAAAAGATAGGATGCAGGATATCAAATTGTGGTGTTTGTGTTTGGCAATTACTATGTTTCCCATTTCTTGAAAGATTTTCAAAGTATCAGTTAGGTGGTGCTTGAGGACAAAAGAGAAAAATACATCTTCATATCAACTTGCTTTTTGGACTTTTAGAGTCAGTCAACTAATATGTTGTTGGTTTATTCATGCCTTTTGTTCTAATAGTCACAAGTTCTTTTTAAAGTAGTCACACTGAATGGAGAACAAAGTTAACAGAAAAACAGAACACTTAATCGCAGAAATCAGCCTTCAGGAACTGGTGAATATCCCTGAACTACACATTCCTCTTTTCCTGCTGTTTCTAGTTATCTGCACTCTGACCCTGGCTGGAAACATCCTCATCATTGTTCTGTCGCTGATCAGCATCTTCATACCCCCATGTACTTCTTCCTAGGGAACCTGTCCTGCTCGGAGATCTCCAGACCTGACTGGAGACAGAATCATTTCTGTTAGGGGCTGTATCTTGTAGATTCCTGATTTTAGTTTTCTGGCACCTACAGTGTGTTATCTCCTGGCTTTGGTGTCTTATGATAGGTAGTTAGCAAAATTCAAACCTGAATGGTAGGGCCTACCTTCAGCTGGATCTTGCCTGAGTGGACATAGTGGGTAGTGCCCTAATGAGAGTTTAAGTGACCCAGTTACATTTCTGTGGCTCCAATGAAATCGACCATTTCTTTTGTGATTCTGCCCCACTGATAAAGTTCCTGCAGTGACACCAGCCTAGTCACCCAGGTTATCTTTATGCTTTCCTCCATAGAAATTCAGTTCCCATTTATATTAACCATGACATCCTATGTTTCTATTATCACCACAATACTGAGAATCCCCTTCACCACTGGGAAGGAAAAAGCATTATCCACCTGCTCCTCTCACCTTGTTGTAGTAATTATGTTCTACAAGATGAAAACTCTTGTCTCTGAGATACCAAAAAAACCTTGTACTCGGAGGCCTTAACAAGGTGTTCTCCGTATTCTGTGCTGTCTTGTCTCCCTTGTCCTATCCCCCAATTTACATGCTGAGAAACAAGGAAGTAAAGAAAGCCTTGAGAAATATTGTCAGTAAATCATGAT